CCTACACCTCTACCCCCTGCCCCCTTGGGCCATGCTGGTGTCCTTCACTCCCAACCTGCAGCTCCCTGCCCCCCTCCAGCCCTGCTGAAGGGGTCCCCAGCTGCCCTTATCCCGCTTGGGCTGGAGTTCAGTGGCTGCGGCGGCTCTGGCTCATGCAGGCAGCAGCAGAGCAAGTCCAGCCACAACACAGGCTGGAGGGAGGAGGAGGAGAGGCCTGCGGCACCCCCGCTGCCCTGAGCTGGGACTGCCACACCATGCCAGGCAGCCCGGTCATGGCCCTCCCCACCCCTCAGGCAGCATCTCCTGGCTCCTGGCCAAGCAGCTCTCCCCTGCCCCCTTCCCCCGATGGAAAGGGAAGGTGCCTTCCCACCGCCCCTCTGCCCTGCTGCAGCTCGCAACCCTTTGAAATATTCTTGCAACCCACTTTTGGGTTGCAACCCATGGGTTGAGAAATGCTGCTCTACTCCACAAGGTCTAATTTTCCTGTATAATAATGTGCTCCTTTACTGTATTGGCAGAACCTGCCCTTCTCCCTCCACCCTCACTGGATTAGTGTCATACACAAATTTCCTAAGTACAGCTATAGTTTCTCTACTATAGCTGCTAATGAAAATGGTAGACAGGATAGGTTCAAAGACCAATCCCTGAGGAACTCCGCTAGCAACGGGTCTCCGGTACAATAACTTGCCTTCCAGCATAACTTGTTGTAGAATCCCTTTAAACCAGCTCCTTATCTACCTTATATTCAGAGCATTGATCTCCATCCTCACCACTTTGGCTAATTCTCATTGGGTTTGGTTTCAAAAGCTTTGCTTAAATCACAATAGATAATGTCCACTGTGTTGCCCTAGTGTAAGTCAGTTATCCTGTCATACAAGGAGATTAGATTGGTCTGACACAATGTTTCTTAGACAAAACTATGTTGTGTTTTATCCCATTTTCTGTTTACTTTCATATCCTTTATTATTCTTTCCTTTGATATCCGTCCCTAGATCTTGCATAATATTGGAGTCACCTATAACTGCCAAGGTGACACTTTTTCCATTAAAAATAGGCAATACAGTTGCCTAATCATAAAAGTCCAATCATAGACTGTAAACTCTTGAGTTGACAGATTCATTAAAAATCCTTGTTGAAGGAATTCCTAATTCACAGGCCAATTCTTTCAGAGTTCTGGGGTGGAGATTATCTGGATCCTCTGATTTTGTGACAATAAGCAATGTATGTCTGGCTTCTACCTCAGATGTGATTATTTCCATAACCATGCTCTCATTCCTGTTTTGTACCCCTACCATTGTTTTCAGTTAATTCTTCACTGTTATTGAAGACTGAAGCAAAGTATTTATTCAGTATTTGAGCCATATCCCATTGCAGAGTATAGATTTTGCTGGTCTTTTTAATTGTCCTCATAAAGTCTACCTCAGTTAAGCTTTTGGCAGTTCTCACTGTAGTGTAAGCGGTGAAGTGGTTCTTGGTTTTATTCACTGTGCTCTATCCATCCTCCATCAATAGGATAAAATGAAATGGAGCTTTGGTGTTATTTCCAACAAAAATACTTTCACCTGTAAATTGTAAAGAGCTTTGGTATCCCTAGAGAAGTGCACTACTGTAGATCCATCAGATAGGACATAGTCTCTCCTGCCTAATATTTTATTTATTCTTAAGTCCACCATGTGGTTTCTTCTGTACTCAGCCTGTGCCATTTCATTTGCCTACAGATTTAGTTCAGCTCATATATTAGCTTTTTTAGAACATGCATCACTGTAATTGATGCAGCTGCCTCAATTGTTCCTAAGCTAGCTGTATGAATCTAAAGGTGGAGGTCAGCATCTTATCTATCTAGCCAGCCCCTCCTCATTAATGTGCTCTGGCACAGCTCACTGCTGCTTCAAAAGTCCCTTCAAGGTACTAATGCACTGGATGATCTAATGCTTCACTTCATGTGATAGCCTTTTGTTAACACTTTTCCTGCTGCAATCTGCCATGTTGTCAGCTCCAGCAACAGCTGCACCTCTTTCATTCCCCTCCCCAAAGTATTTTCACCTTTTTGACACAGCCATGAGCGATGGAGAGCTTAGTAATCAGTTTTGCCCCATTAATTTTGCTTCTAGCCCACAGCTTTATGCTCTTTCTTTGGCATAAAGAATCATGCCTTTGTTTGGCATGATTTTTTTTAATGGCATGAGACTTTCACTGGATCTTTCTAACAAAAGACAAGTGGCCAACATTCCTGGAGAATACTGGGATTACTTTCTCCTTTGGTTTTGAGCTTCAATGCAACCTCATTAACAAAGTAATAAATAGTCCCTGAAGATGAAGCTTTTATAACAAAGGCCTAAATCATTTCTCTAGTGATTAAGCACTCTGGAGGAGACATACATGAAGATTTCCTCACTAAGGTCACATAAGGGTAGAAGATTTTTCTCCTATGAAAGACACCACTAGCCTGGTCCTCAAATCTGACAGAGTCCTGAAGATCGCAGTTCCCTGGACAACACAAATCAAGAACTCCCTCACTGCACCTGCCCACGGGATCCCAAGTAAAGGTACATTCATTATCTAATTAAATTGTACGGGGCTGGAAGTAGGATGGTGTGCATTTCCCACACTCATTGCTATCATGCTTACCCCTTCCCTGGCCCATCCAGTTCTCAGTCCTTCCATCAGCACCTGGTTCGCACTGGGCAGTGTTGCTGCAGTCATTAAGCCTCCTTTCTGGTAGATAGGGATGCTCCATGTGTACCTACAAATCCAGATTTAGAGGGAACAAGCTACTCCTGGGGCTGGTTTTGTATGTGATTTTAAAAACAATCATGTCTTCTTAAAATTACAGCCATGTTTCTTCTTGGTGTCTGCCATCAGAGACAGGGAGTGGCTCAAACTGTCACCAGGGAATGAAATAACTGAAAATGAAAGGAGAAGCTATATAAATATTTCAAGCATGCTCTATTTTAACCTCCACTCTTACTTCCCTCACCCCATAGGAAATTACCTTGAGTCTCATCCAGATATGAGATAGATCTGAAAAATATAAGCAATAATTTGTGCACATATAACATTAAGTTAAATGCACATAATGGAAAAAATGCCAGCTGAAGAGCATGCATGGAAGGCTAGACCATCACATGATACAAACCAGCACTGCTCAGATGATAGTTATCTCAGTTGATGTTCTGGCCTATTTCAACTGCATTTAAGTTGGTATTGTAACAATCAGTGTCTATGTACAGGTTGCAAGGGTATCAGCAAGGAATTAGCCTGAGAAATGTAGCACTAAAACCACAGCCTTTTATCTTTTAAACTAAAAGTAACTGTTTAGGTATATGTAGGAAGCTGTTATAGTTGATAGACCCAGCCACTAAAGGGAGACAAACATACATCAAGTCACCGTATTGAAGAATGTTAACATAATTCTTCTCTGGTGGTTTAAATAATCTGGATTCCTTGGAGCAGTGTTTAGGTAAGCAATTTTCTTTTTCCCAATTTATGTATTTGTGATTGCATTCAGATCAGATGGAAGATTAAATAAAGAATGACACCAACGTATTCAGAATGACAGACACATTTTAACAAAAAAGTGTCATACTGGGTCAGATCATAGGTCCATCTAGCCCTGGAACCTGTATCTAATAGTGGCAGAGTGGATGCTATGGGAAAAAGTATGTGAGCAGGAAGAGTGAAATGTAGGCCTCCTTGGGCAAAAGGGAAATTGATCCATCCACTGTCCCTCTCCCCTAAAGTTTCCAGCACTCAGAGATCCCAAAGGTTCGAATGTTAAGGTTGCAACACTATCACGTTTAATACCCACTGATGGACCTGGCCTGTCGGAATTTGTCCACCCCATTTGGAAACTGGTTAATTATTTGAATTGGTCACTATAGTTGTGTCTCTCTGTGAGAAGGTGCTGTTGATCATATTCACTTCTCCAGTGCCAAGGTCTAATTTCCAACCTCTCCTCCAGTCTTGCCTGCTACAACTTGTAATTATAGAAAAAGGGAAAGTGAATATTATGCGGAGGCCAGTGGAATGCCTTTAACCCAGAGTGGTTGTTTTGCAGGGCTCCTCCTTCCCTACACTGTGTCCCTTTCCTCTCAAGGCATCAGTGGCTGATCTCATTCTGTAATTTAGTTACCAATTTCTTTCTTGCTTTTGGATCTTTTAATCCAGTTTCTAATGCTCCTTCAGTCCTTAATGAAATCCACTTTAATCAACACTTTCATCTAACAAAACAACTACAAAATTAATCAATTGATTAATTACTTGGATATTGTTATCCATGGAGGCCCACAATTCACTCTTCCATCAATTCAGTTCAGCTACGTCAGCCTAGTTAGAGCATCCATTACCTCACACCTTCACCTGAGAAATCAGGGCAACTTGATAAGGTCCCTTAATCTGCTGGGTATCATCTCCCAAAGTTCAGCACCCAGTCAATTAATACTCAAATATCCACTAATTCATGATATAGAGATAAGCAGCATGAACTGAGGGAAATCAATTACTAACCAGTCTTGTCAATTTATGAATGAACATGGAAAGGAACAGGATCCAGTATCAAAAGTTCATTAAATTCATGAACTTTGACAGAGAAGCAACCACTCAGATGCAGAAGTCTGCCCCTCTGCTCCAGGTTTGGAAGTAGCCAGTCCTGGCCACTCTTCAGTTAAGATACTTAATAATAAACAAAGCCAGACGAAAAATACTGTGGCTCACCATGCATACCAATGCACTGCTCCGTGCAGCCTCTTTGCCTCCAGTCCTCTCAGTGCTGCCTGGCTACTCCAGGTTTGTCTCTGCACCTTTTGCAATGCACCTCAGCTTCATGCTTCCTTGAGGCTCTTCTCCATATCTCCACATGGATCTTTGCAGCCCTCTCCTACTTGGACCTGCAGGTTCCCCTCCTTGGGGTCCTGAGAGCCCAGGCCCACATTTTCTTTTTCCCAGAAGCTCTCTGGCCTAATAGAGTCCCTGTGTAGGAGCACATGACTCCAGGGACTCTGCGTCAAGATTCTCCATGCAGTGTTTCTCCTCAATGACACCAGCTCAGCCTCCTTGCCCCAACCCCCACCTGCCAAGTCCAGCCTGAGAATTAATCTGCATGAGTGAACTCCCTGCGAGTGAAACAGGTAAGTGTCAATGTAGCAGGGCCCCAGCCAAACCCCATACTCACCAGGATGATGACTGATGATGTGGTCCTCAGGCAGTGGATCCCTGGCTGGGCTTGTGTAGAAGCAGTGAGCCTATGAGCCAACAATGTGCTCTGCTCTTCTGTCAGACAGGCAGCCAGCAAGCAGCAGACTTCCCTCTGCCTCCACACCCAGGCCGGGGTGAGAGCCAGAATCCTGGCTCCAAGTGGACGTGGGCCACAGCTCAAGAAGAGGGCAGGCAGCTGGTGCAGGAAGCACCACCTAGGACCCAGAAGCAGCAGATGCAGGGGCTGATGACCTCCTGTAGGGCTCTCAACACCTGTCAGCAGCAGCGGGACACATGAGAGCAAGCAGGGGGCCAGGCTGGTCCACACCAAACCAGAATTCCTCACATAAGGTGGCACCAACCCCAGGAAAGGGGGAACACCAACATAGGCAAAGGCCCATGCTGCCTTCCTCCATCGGAGCTGAAGACCTGAAGTAGTGGACCAGGATCACTCTGGCGCTCTGATAGAATCCTGACTGCTGCTGCAGGAGGTCTGGTACCTTTCTGTTCACCACAGGAGGTCAGGTACTTTTAGGGGATGCACCAGAGTTCATGATACCCCTGGCCCCACATTACCCAAAGGGGTCGTTCCAGGACAGACTAGCCTGTTCAGATTGTGCCCTTATAAAGTACAAGCCCTAAGGAGCCCCGATTGCCTGGAGAAAGGCAGTCAAGATACCCTGCTGGGCCGAGGAAGGACCTGAAGCAGGCACAGACATGGTTATTTAAGTTATATTAGTTTATTCATTTCTTTATGCAGGCCGGACACTGCTGACCGCAGAACTGCAGCAAAGCAGCTGAGGTGTGCTGACCCCAGGCAATGTGGTTTCCTTCTGTTGCAGACTCTTCTGCCTGAACAAGGCCAGACACCCAGTACAGCCAGGCGTCTAGTCCAAGCACTGACCAGAACACCCAAATAGAAAGAGGTGGGGTGGAGGGGAGGTGGAGCTCTACAGAAGACTCTTGGATGTCCTGACCCACCCTCTCTAATGAGATACCACCCTCTGATACCTTTTTCAGTTATACCAAGTCGTGGCAGGGGAAGATATGAAAATAGGAGAATGAGACACCCACTGAGCATGTGGCACATGGGCTCCACCCCAGTATGGCCTCTTGGCCTGGATCCCTCTACAGTTTCATAGTTTCATAGTTTAGTTTCATAGTTTCTAGGGTCAGAAGGGACCTGAGCAGATCATCTAGTCCGACCCCCTGCCATGGCAGGAAGAGCACTGGGGTCAAATGACCCCAGTAAGGTGGTCATCCAACCTCCTCTTAAAAACCCCCAGGGTGGGAGCCTGCACC